TATATCCTGGGATATAGACGGATTTGGTTGGATATCCATACTGGATAATGAGGTTAACAAAATAAGTTACAGTATATTTACAGTGATGAAAACTTTATAAATATTGACATCGATAAATTTTTGAGAATCGTGATATTTTCAAAGAAGCTTGTAAGGTATATTGCTTAATCTTAACTATTCCATCCACTAGTGTTTCAGTCGAACGTAGTTCTTATTTAAAACGAATTAAAACATATCTACGAAATACAATAACAGAAGAACAGAATTTAGGAAAAATTTCAATTGAAAAGACACTCTTTAATGAACTTGTACGATCAGAGCCATTTTAATGGTATAATAGATAGTTTTGCAAGTTTAAAGGATAGGAGAATCGACCTTATGTACAAAAAATAAAAAAAAGTCGATTTTTTTTGTTTTATTTTCAACGCGTCACCTACATTCAAACCCACGAGCCGCCACTGGGCAGAGTATGTATTCCTCTTATTGAGACGTTAATTTATTGGTCTATAACTTAGCAACTCGTGTTTTAACGAGCATAATCGTCATCTTTAAAATGCTTGGAGCACACGCTTGCATTATCTCAATTAAAATTATCTTTACGATCGCAGACTTGCCGTCAAGCCTTGCGAATTCTGGTCTCGCCAGGAAAACGAAAGAACAATACTTAATCCTTTTTTTAAATGTTTAGCTTGATCATCCATGTGGCACCCATACACTGCACACCGCATTTTTGTTTATATTGAATATCCCAAAACAAGTTAATAAAGAAATTAACACTAAAATCTTTTCATAATTAATATTATGAAAATTGATCGAAATCGTTGAAACGCTGCTGTTATACAAATTACTTACTATACTCGGACAAAATATTGGAGAAGGTGAGTCATATGCATGATCAACACTATTGTCTATGAATGAAAATTCCGACAGAGTCAGCATAAGCGGCGTATCAAATACCAAATTATTATTTATTATTTATTAGGTATTTGTTAGTAAACTTTATTAAAGGACCCCGCAATAATCTTATGGAAATTGGGTTTCTGTCAAATTGTCTGAATTTTTGATATGTTTTTGTCATCCTGAAAAAAATTCTCTATTGGCACAAAGTGCCAAAATGAATATTTTGGCAGCTACGGAGCTGCCAAAGCTCCCCTGACCTGTTGCAAAAATATTCATTTTCAATACTATTTACAGATTTTAATTATTCTAAAATATAGGGTAATGTTTTTGAGGTCACTGGATTTAACCCTCATGTCAGATTGGACAAATTGACCGTTGACAGCTGTCAATTCACGGTCAACGAGGACTATAAAAGTAAATATCCACTTTTCACATTGAGAGTTTGGGTTTTTATGGTCGCTGAATTCAATTCTCATGTCAGATTGGACAAATTGACGGTTGACAGCTGTCAATTGACTATCAACGAGGAATATAAAAGTAAATATCCTCTTTTCACATTGAGAGTTTAGGTTTTTGAGGTCGCTGAATTCAATTCTCATCATCAGATTGGACAAATTGACAGTTGACAGCTGTATATTGTATCTCTACTTTAGTTACAAATATTTTTTAATTATTTTATTAATTATTCTTATCTCTACTTTACAAATTATTCTGTGCTTTAGTTACAAATATTTCTTTATATTCTATTAGTTCTTGCTCTGTTCTTTACATATTTTATAATCATTAATTCTTGTCATCTCTACTGTTACAAAATAAAAATATTTTTTGACAAATTGGACAAATTGACGGTTGGCAGCTGTCAACTGTCAATTTGTCCAATCCGACATGAGAATTGAATTCAGCGACCTCAAAAACCCAAACTCTCAATGTGCAAAGAGGATAATATTTACTTTTATATTCCTCGTTGACAATCAATTGACAGCTGTCAACTGTCAATTTGTCCAATCTGACATGAGAATTGAATTCAGCAACCTCAAAAACCCAAACTCTCAAAGTGAAAAGAGGATATTTACTTTTATATTCCTCGTTGAAAGTCAATTGACAGCTGTCAACTGTCAATTTGTCCAATCTGACATGAGAATTGAATTCAGCAACCTCAAAACCCAAACTCTCAATGTGAAAAGAGAATATTTACTTTTATATTCCTCGTTGACAGTGAATTGACAGCTGTCAACGGTCAATTTGTCCAATCTGACATGAGGGTTGAATCCAGTGACCTCAAAAACATTACCCTATATATTAGAATAATTAAAATATGCTTTTGACATCTGTAAATAGTATTGAAAATGAATAGTTTTGCAAGGGGTCAGGGGAGCTTTGGCAGCTCCGGAGCTGCCAAAATATTCATTTTGGCACTTTGTGCCCATGAAGACTTTTATTCAGGATGACAAAATCTACAACATATCAAAAAATTCAGACAATTTGACAGAAACCCAATTTCCATAAGATTATTGCGGGGTCCTTTGTTTGTCAACATCTTTATTTAAACAAAGATTATGCGTTAAATATACGTTTTTGATAGTTTTCAAGAAACGAATATATTTATTCCCTAATGACTTCGTTATGTGTTTAATGGTTTTAAAATGTGTTTCAAGTAAATAAACGACAGACGGGTTACAGATTGAATATTGTCAGCACAGGCACAAAGACAGTTGAAAACTAACTTTCGACGAAGTTAGATTTGTATCGCTTTAACTATTTACGATAATTATTTTATATTTTATAAACACTTTTTTGTATAAGTGCTCTTTTCTGATATACGAGTAGGTGTTCATGTTTGTGCCTTACAATTTGGAAGTGGTAGTGCATATTCGAGGAGTTAGATTTATTGTGTAGTATATTAGGTAGGTACTTTAAAAGTTTATTAAATAGTAAAATATTGGTGTCTTTATAAATTTAATAAAAACAATTTAATAGTAGAATTATATTGTTACAATAGTAATGGATTCAGAGGCGGGTCCAAGTGAAACCCAATTACGTCGGCGAAAGTCCTTATCAAAGGATGAAAAAAACATTATATGGAAAGTGTATGATAGGCTGAAACAGACACTTCCTACAAATGAAGCTGTAAACCGCAGTTCTTTTTTAACTGGAGTATCTGTTTCAACAAACGAACGTATTGTACGCGAAAAGACAAACGATAACCAAAAACAAATCATTCGAAGAACTGTACATTATTATTATTTTTTTTTTTCGAAAATAAAGGCGCAATACTTAAAGTTGTTCCTACGAAATTAAGAGAAAACAAAGAAATTCCATTAATGAGCCGTGAAACTTTTATGGGGCCTAAAATTTCGTTTTGTCAAACGGAGTAGGAAATCAATTTTAATTGAGAGGCCAGTGTCCTGGCGAGTTTAGAGCCGCTAAAAAAAAGATATACTATCACGATGAAACGTGGGTAAATGCTGAACACACGGTATCTAAGATATGGCAAGATACTTCTGTAACTAGTCATCGCCAAGCTTGTATAGAGGGATTATCTACAGGTTTGAAAGCACCATCAGGTAAAGGACAGCGCCTAATTGTTACCCATATCGGAAGTGACAGTGGATTTTTGGAAAATAGCGCTCGTGTTTATATCGAAAAAAACAGCAGACTACCATGAGGACATGAATGCGGAATGCTTTGAAAAATGGTACTGAAGTATTACAGCGTGTAGAACGAAATTCAGTTATTGTACTAGATAACGCTTCTTATCACAGTCGAAGACTTGAACTTATTCCGATAATGTCCAGTAGGAAAGCGGATATGCAAACCTGGCTGCGGGATAAAGAAATAACATATACTGAGGAGATGCTCAAAGTCGAATTAATGGACCTAATAAAGGAACACCGCCATAAATATATTCAATATGTTGTCGACGTGGTATTACGGTATTAAGACTTCCCCCTTGCGAATTCAATACTATTGAACTAATTAGGGCGCACGTGAAAGGGTTTGTAGCTCGAGAAAATAAAACTATTAAAAACCGGTATAGAACGTATAAAACCTGAAGATTGGAAGAATGCTATTTCCCATGTAATTAAGGAAGAAAATAATATGTGGCGCTTGGACGGTATGATCGAAACGGTAGTTGAACCTTTAGTCATAACTTTAAGTTCTGACTATAAAGACGATTCCAGTGATAGTTCTGCAGAATCAATGGATTACGAAACTTCATAGATTTAGAATTCAAGTAAGTGATACCAAGCTTAATTTACATATTTTTATAATAAACAAAACAAAATTATAAACATAAATGATTATTACTACAAAAATAGATAACCAACCTACTTTCATATATTATTTACTATTACCGCATTTAATTTGCCAATAGTTTTTATACGCCACTGGCGTAATTCATTTTGGCAATAAACATGCATTTATGACTAGTTGGCACGTGATTCCCATAACTTCTGCAGTTTTAAGCGCGTGATTCTATTCATTATGCTCTGGTATAGTATGATTGTTGTACGTGAACAGGAAGGAATCACCTTCTTCAATATTTTGTCCGAGTATAACTGCATGACGCATAAGCAAAGCTAAAATGGCGCCTAACATAGGCAATATATCTAAGAGTTATAGTATCATGGACTGAAATTATCAACGCATTATGAGATGAAAACAAGTGATTTAAAAAAAATTCGCCATTCAGGTAGAATATTTATTTTGGCAACTGCATTACCATGTGTAATTATTCTATTGGTTGCTTATGAGCACGAATAATGAACAGTTTTTTAATGCCAATTTGCTTCTAAATGCTTAATTAAACCGATAAATAAAGGTTTTATTATAAACTCAAAGACCTTTATTGATTGTTCCTATGTAAATAGGATTAAAATATTCTGATGTATTGTTATAGCTAATTGTAGTTGTAATAAATATCACAGACCAGAATAAATTTATATCATTTTCTGTAATATATTTTCCAAATTATTAAATTTCTTATTATTTATCTTTCCATTAGATATTTTTCATTTAATAGTTTAAAATTATTAATAAAAGTAATATTCCTTAAATTAAATCATTTTTATTAAATAAATATTAAATAAAAATAAAAAGGCTGACAAAGTTTCTTTTCGTTAAAATATTAAATATTAACAACATACTTTGTTAATTGTTATCGTTAATAGTGTTTTGTGCAACAAATGAGAAAAACGACCTGACGATTCATATGTCACAATTAAAGCAAACAGAAAAATAATTTTCAAACATGTTGCACACTTTACTTTTCCTACGACTGATTAATATTTATTATATAAATATATGAAATAAGAAAAAAAAGTGACCTAAACGGTTAAACAGTTTTTTTAACACTACTTGCATATTTTAGATACTTTTTTAAACTGACACATACAAAAGACAATGATATTAAATTTGACAGTCTGTGACCACTTAAAAGACTGAAGTAACTGTTAAATTATATTTATTATCTAGGTATTTTGAAGTTTATTTAAGAAGTAATTTTTCACTATGTGAGAAATTAATAACGTTAACTGCAAGTAAGCTATAAGAAATGTGTAGTGTTGTCTAGCAGTCGTAGAAAAAATATTTTAACTTTTGTAAAATGTTTCATTCCCATGCATTATAATTTTTTATGTAATTAATAATGTTTACCTAATTTCACTGGTTTTATAAAAGATACATAAATTATACTTTTAAAGCTCTTGTTAAACTAAAATCAATTCTTGATAAAGAGGATATTTGAAATACTTTCAGATACCCTGTATATGTGCAACGAAATAAAAAATAAAATAATGTAAAAGAAAAACCGTCAATCTTCTATGAGCAATTAAATATCCCTATTTTAGCACAATTATTATACAAAATAAGCAGCTAACTGTGACATTTTATCTTTAGGAGGCCTTCCCCTGCCTCCTCTACCTCCCCTGCCCCTCCCAACAGTAGCAGCTGCAGCTTTACCGCCCCTAAATAACCTCGGTCGCGAAGTTACAGCAACTTTTGGCCTATCTACTAATTTCGCAAACTCGGTGCTACAAAAAGCGCAGCCTTTCGCTTCAGTCGAACCCTGAAGTTTATTCTTCTCCAATTTGTATTCTACATGGACCAGCTGGGCGCCACAGTCACAATTGTCATCCAATATAGTGACTTTTTGTGCGTCGCTGAAGAGGTTGATAATGGTGTCGCATCTAAAATAAAATAAAAATATTACATATTATATGCCAAAAAAGAAGACTAACCAAATCGATGCACAGAAAAACATCAAAGTGGCATCAGGAGTACCACAGGGATCCGTTTGGAGACCTACCCTGTGGTACATCTTGTATGACTCCTTAAAAAAAGATTAATGGAAGATTACGACAGTATTAACGATTCAAGCTAAGTGATGCGCCCTCTAGAGAAAATTGTAAAAGGTGTCTATAAGTAGGACTTTGTTCAGTGTTACCAGGAGTAACGGAATTTCGCTACGTCGTCGGATTTTTAGTCTTCGAAGAAGTGGAAACTCTATAGTTTATTTAAAGAATTTTTAACTAGGTGAGTTATTACTAAAATTTAAAATAAGTATTTGTCCCAAAAACTGTTCTTGGTCTATGTTAATTTTATGTTTTACACTAATGAATTTTACTTCTTTACCACTAATACCTGCACTTCTGCATACTTTATCCCAGTGGCCCCTTTTTAAGCAGCGACGACACTTTCCATTTCTTGCAGGACATGCCTCACGTTGGTGATAGCTAAGACCGCAATATTGGCATGTCTTAGGGGTATCTGTTCGATCCTTATAGAATGTGTTACCTCGTTTAATAGCATTCAACTGATTTTCATTACGCAAAATATTGCTCTGCTGAGCCTGAATTTTAGCTTGTTTTGCAGCTAAACAGACTGACCTAAAGTAAGTTGACCTTGTAACTGTAAACGTTCGCTTGTATATATGTCAGCCATACCTACTACGATTCGGTCTCTAATAAGTTCGCTTTTTAGATTTGAGAATTCACAATTTTCTGCAATGTAGTTATTAAAGTGTGTACAGATTCACCTAGATGTTAAACCCGTGAATTAAATTGAAATCTTTCGAAAATAACATTCTTACGTGGTATAAAATGATCCTCAAAAGCTTTTTTCATTGCTTGAGAAGTAGTTGGTTGGGTAGGAAATTGCATGAGAATGTCTTCACATTCCTCGCCCATTAATTACAAAAATGAATTCATTTTGTCCTCTTCAGACTTGCTTGAAAGACCAGAGATTGGGATTGAAAAATTGAATTTGTTCAGAGATGCAACTATTGTAACTGCTGTTTCCGCCATTGTAGGTTAGTGAAAATTTGCTGCTTGTAAAGTCTAAAAAGCCTTAGGACCGAAAATTAGGTTGAATTTGGCGCGAATCTGACTTGGAAAAGCAAACACAAATGTACCTATTTTACATACTATTATATCACTTTTACAGCTGCGACCATGTTGTGTTAGGCAGATGATCAACACTAATAATGCAAATCCTCATATAAACTTCTTTATTACTTCACAAAAGTCCAAGAAAATACCTAGTCGAAAATACGACATGCCATGCCTCTCGAGCCGGTGCCAAGAGTTAGGTTAGGACTAGAAATGAGCTTAAAATCGCGAACTGCGATTTGATCGCAGCGATTTTACAATCGCAACCTGTGATTGCATTGTAAAACAAACTGTGACTGCGTTTTTCATAGATGGTTGCTCGGTTGCCGTCGGAATCGAAACCAACGATTGCCAATGCTGAGCATTGTGCGATGAGGTGCGCTTTCTACGCTATGCCGTCAGCGACAATCGACCATTTTCGATTTCTTCGATCCTGCCGAGAAACCTGTGACACTGTGACAGCCTGCAATCGAAAATGCATGCGATATGAGATTGCCGCTCCTTGCATTCATTCTTTATTTTATTTAAAACATTTAAAAAGGCGAGCAAATTTTGATACAGAATGCTAAAAAAAGCAAAATTAGTTATTTGCGGAATTTTTATTCTGAATTAGATGATACTTTTGCAAAATATTTTTTTAAGGTTAGGTAGGTATGTCTATTTTAATAATTTATTGTGCTTACAGACCAACTTTGAGTAATTTGACCTGTGAAAAAATGTTATCAAAAAAATGCAGGTTTTATCTTTTTAATTTTGCTTCCTGTACGTGTACACATAAAGAATTATTATAGTACAATAACTAATGATTGTAACCCAAATCCAATCATTCATTACTGATTATGCTGTATATGTTCTATGTAAATATAATTAATAATTATAACATATGTTTTGGTCGTTAACGAATTTCTAAACGCAGAATCACAATCGCAGGTTGCAATCGCAGTGATTGAAAAATCGTAATTACAGTTTTGACTGCGATTGTAAAATCGGGGTTTGGCTCACCTCTAGTTAGGACCATGTGTCTCTAGCCACCATGTCGGATCGCCGTAGCTAAGGTGACACAACAGAAAACACTATTTTTAGAGTTAAAGTAAGTACTAAATTGAAGATTCTTACCTATTACAACCTAACTTCCATTTTGGTCCTGAAGATGGATCTAGAACCAAAACTCCAAATTCACATTCTGCACAACTTATAACTCCATTCGCAATTAAACTATATTGACAAGTTGGGTGGGAACATGAGTTACAACCATTACCTTTCCTCATATCTCTGAAAAGATTAATGATATACTAATTAAATGAAATGTACCTACTTTAAGAAAACGTGTATTCATTTTATCTCTTGTTGGAGCTAACTTTGGTAATAAAATATATTATATCTTGACTGCCGTCGAAGTTGATGTAATATGTTTAAATAAAATTTGCCAATCTGATGACTAGATGGCGTTTATGTAAATATCTCCTAACATGTTGTTAAAGGCATATGCGGTACATTGACAAAAAATCGTCACATATAGATTACTTATTGTTAATTCTGCCAAATTGTTCTGCTTCTAGGATCATTTTAGGATTTCGGATAATTTTAGATGTTAATAAAAAATGTAGTACTTACTTAAATGGAGGATTGTTATAACAATATGGACAGAACACGAAACTTTTTCCTTTATTACCCATAGTCCAACATAATAATTCAAAATCATCTAGAGGACATTTAAGTTCTTTAAACAACTTAATTGTACCATTTTGTGGTAAACTATAGGTTTCATCACACTGTGGACAATGCAGTCTAGCAGGTTTAGCCTGAATGTATTTCATGTACCTTCGACATTTGCCACACCTAAAAAATAAGACAGATAAAATTGCATTGAATTTATTTTTTTTTTTTGTTTGTTCGAACTGGAAATAATAAGTTACTAAAGATAACGGGGAAAGCAAAAAGGGTCTATAAATATTAATTAAATAATTCCAATTTACAAGAAAGGAGTGCTCATACTGTGATAATAATTATAAAGAAATCATATCTTCAATTGTATTCAAGTTGTATACTACAAGAAACACTGAAGAACATATAAGTGCAGGTATATAAATAAAAAAATTAAGTTGAACAGGTTGCATATAGAAAACCATAGGACAGTACTTGTGAAAAATTCGATGTCCTGATGATGATCCCCTTTAAATTTTTCCCGGGATAACTGGCTTGTATTTTTTTAGGAGTTATCATAGATCACTGAAATTTTGCAATATATTTTTAACAAAAGGTCAGATGGACAACTTTTATATTTAAAAAGGTGTTCTTGTTTTAACAAGGGCAAAGCAAATTTATATTGCCCTTTTTTTGGCATAAGACATTTTATTACTCAGAACGTGATAGGTATTTTTTTGACTGTAAAAGTATCAATCTTAGAAAAAAATGTTAAATAGAAAAGTTCAATTAAATTCCCCAAGAGGTTCTATTAAAATTCGGATATGTTTATCAGAGCATTTATTTAAGTATACCTGCCAAATTTCAGCACCCTACAATATTTAATTTGTCCGAATTTCTTGATATACGAACGCGCACATTTAATTGCGTCTGTCATATAGTATTCGCAATAAAAATACACCCTCTGGAGAACATGAACTAGACTAAATTTCTGATTGATTGTCGGAAGCATTTTTTCGAAAAAAAAATCGAAATTTTTTAAAAACCTAAAAAAAATTCAAGCCAGATAGCCCGGGAGCAATTGAAAGGATATTGAATTTAACCAACATACCAATTTGCAGCTTTATTCTAATTTTTCACAGAGCAAAACAGAAAGAAAAAATTAAAAATGAGAAATACTTGTAATGTACACCTCTTAAGTATTAACTGGGTATTCCAAAGTATTCTCTGGATTTTTTTATTTCCCTTTAGCACTTCTTCCTAGCACTTCTTTGGCAACTCTCTTAATCCATTTTTTAGAAGATTTCTCATTACAATGTAAATTGATTTTTCTAAATTGTCATTATTTAAACCATATAAAAATTGCAAGTGTAGGTCACAAAACTCAAAGAGGAAATAATACAATTAGTCGAGCAAGAACTGAGTTTCAATTGGTCTAAGAATATTTGTTAATAATAAAATGAAATGAACCTTGAATGGGCTTTTCCAGATGCACTTAAAGGAGAAAATGTTACTTCAAATAATTGATCCATAGAATCGATATGTTTCACAAAATACTGAAATTTGAGTTTAAATATTTCAGTTGTATGTTTTAGAACATCATGAAAATTCGCTTTCCCGGCAGCTATGAGGTTTAGTTGTTCTTCTACAGCAGATCTCATAGTTGGGAGTACCAGTTCTTCATCAATCTGAAAACAAAAAATATATAGATATTTAAATAAAAGATTAAGTAACATACTTTTTGGTATCCATGAACAAGAACAATACCAAGAGAAGTAGGCTTTAATTTTCTTCCACTTATTACTGAAACATAGTTTCTTTGGCATATGTTATTAATGTGCACAGGAATGGAAGCATCAGTGCCTATTCCATGTTTCTCCATTAAAGTAATTAATTCTGCTTCTGTTAAGTAATCGGGTGGTTGGGTTTGATGTTCAGTTAATCTTGCTTCTTTTATTGGTAACATTTCATTTGCAGTGAAGTCAGGTAAAATTTCATTTTTACCAATTGCCTAAATATAAAAGTTATTTTTATACTATTTTAGGAAAAGTTAAATTTTTTTACCTGCCAAGGCATTATTGTTGTAAATCCAGGTTCTATCAAAGTTTTACCAGATACAGAGAACTCTTCATTGTTTATTATAAATGCAGCTGTGGTGATAAGATATCTACAATCTTTAGCTAGAGTTCCAATAAAATGTCTTGTTATGTAGTCATATATTTTCCAAGAATCTCCATCAAAGTCATTTCTTGAAGCAGCTTTCATAGGTGTTATAGGTGGATGGTCACCTATGTAAAATAATAAATGAAATTGTATTTAAAAAAAAATATGTTAAATACTTCTCTAATAACTACTGTCTTATTAAAAATTGAAAATGTAGTAGTTTAACAAAAGAAACTTAATTACCTGCATCATGACCTGATTTTGGTCTATGTAAGCCATTTTTTAAAATTTCTTTAACGTCACTACCCCATTCGGAACTATTTTGCTGCTGCTGCAATGTGCCTCTAAAATTATTATTTTAAAAAAATATTCTGTAGGATTTTCCCTTTTAAAGTAAAAATATGATAAATAATAATAAATATACATACAACAGGTCAAAATTCTCAGGATATTTGGTTGTCTCTGTCCTAGGGTAACTTATATACCCTTGAGTATATAGCTTTTCAGCTATTTGCATGGCATGGTGGGGTCCCATTCCCAAACCAGAACTAGCAACTCTCATCAGTTCAACTGTGTTTAAAGCTGGGGGCCTAGCTTTTACTTTTTCCTTTGAAGTGACACTTACTAACCTAAAAAATGTAATTATTATAATGAAACATCCTTGCATAAAATGTATCCATATATAAAAATTAACATTGATTACATACCAAGACAAAACCAATGTCCAATAGGAATAAAACCGTTTAGTAAAACTACTTTTTAATAATAATAAAAGGGTAATCTTGTAGTTGACGGGACTAGAAATGTGCATGTTCACACCACTCTGCACTGGAGTCCGTTTAGAAACCTTGCACGGTACGTCTAACCACATACATTAGAATAGAGTCCAGACACGCAGTGAGAGGTTTCTAAACGCACTCCTGATGTCTAGAATTTGACACTTGCCAAATCTCCACTTTCATTTTGGTATGCTTTGTGAAGTAATGGTTTGTTATTGTCGTGTATTTTATATTTTCTTAGGCTATTTTTGTTTTTATTAATATTCTTATCCTCATTGTGTGCTGTTTATTTTTTTAAGTGTCATAATATTGGTGTTGTTTATTTAAGTCTTGTAGAAACTTGAAATAAAATAGGTGGCAGAGCTTGAGCGGCTCTGATTTTCATTGTGCCTCACAATAAACTTTTAAATAATGTTTTCTTTTATAACAGTTTTAATAGTTTTTAAATTTGAATTATGTAAATCACTATTGAAAGGTATTATTGACATTAAAAATAACGATCGTGTTACTTGAAAATCTTCAGAACTTTTTTATTTTTATAAGACTTTTATTCGATGTAAAAATTGGTAAATAGTCATTTCAATCTGCTTATTCCCTGGATCCAAATAATTAAATATAACCTGGCAACTATGTAAGGATTCCAACTGTCAGAACTAGCTGGAACAGGAATTGTGCAGATATGTGCATTTCCAGACCTTTCAACTACAAGATACATAATACATTTTTATATATATTTACTTTGCTTCTCTTTGATCTTTAACCATCTGCAGGAACACATTTGCAATTTCTTTATCAAAACATCTAACTCTGCCCCAGTCCAAATACACTTCTTGTCCATCCTTGGTTGTCAGTGTAACTTGAATACACCAATAAGCTTCAGGTTTAAAGGTTTGAATATCATCATGACGTTGAACACAAAAACCTAGTGTAGGTGTTTGACAAGGGCCATATGAAATAAGAGTAGAATCTAAATCTCCATATCTTCCTTGGAAAAACTTGGTTTGAAACCTGGTGAAAGCACAACCAATTCTTAAATCCAGTTCTTGTCTAGCATCAACACTTTTAGCTTCATTCTCATTTGGATGACCTGTAAGAGTAGTATTGTTTTCAGAATATACCTATTTTTATCAATTGGTGACAAACCTAGATTATTAAAAGCTGCTTTAATATCTTTATCAGTTATGGCTGAAAATCTAGCTCTATAAGTAACAGTAGGTGAATTAATATCCCCTAACACACTACCAGCGACAGCCCCCATCACCTCAAAACAAATATTTTCCCCTTCTTTATCACAATCTAACCATAGTACCACATGGTCAGCTCCTTTAGCTTCTTGGGCCAAAAAAGCAGGCATTTTTAACTTGGGTGTAGCTTCTTTCTTTTCGATAGAGCAAGAAAATAGTTCTACAGGATCCACTCTGTCCCAATTATTATATTTGCTAATAAAATCTACTCCTAATACATGACCACATACAGAGGTCATTTTAAACTTGCTTGGTGCGTTTATAAAGACACCAATCCACTCATGTACCGAGCAAGCTCCATTAAATCCTAAAATGCATTTTTTTATTAAAAAATATGATTGTGTTTTATATAAAATTGTCTTACCTTTACGAGAAGAATTTTTTCCATTACTTAGTATGCTGGCAAGAGAAGCCGCCAAGGACGGCTTCTCGGCTACCATAAAAACAGTTTTCATTATAAAATAAGAATTAAATAATTATTGATGTAACAGATCCTTAATAGATCTCTTTTTAAAAAATATAAACATTAAACTTAACCTTAAAATGTAGATTGTATGTCATATATGTCAAATTGTCAAAGGATGTTTACGTGATGAGAAATGAGGATCAATTACAATGACGTCATTTTTAATAATATTCTTTATTATTTGCCGCGTTTGAGAATCCACATCGGATGCATTTTTTTACATCTCGAGCGTTTTTTTATCCACATTGGACACATCTGTCCCATTACATTTACGTATACTTGCCGCGTTTGAGAATCCACATCGGATGCATTTTTTACATCTCGAGCGTTTTTTTATCCACATCGGACACATCTGTCCCATTACATTTACGTATACTCGAATCACGTGATCAAAGATTTTTTACATCTCAGATGCATCCGATGTGGATTCTCAAACGCGGCAACTGAATCACGTGACCAAAGATTTACTACATCTCAGATGCATCCGATGTGGATTCCACATACTTATAATAGGTATACGGAGCAAGAGAGACGTCCGACCTGTTTAACAAAGGGGCGGCCATTTTTATACAAGATTACTAGTACATAGGTGACCAGAAATACAGCAATATGAAAACTTGGTTGCAGATGTCTAGGTCTTTTCACTTTTAAATACATCATTTTGTACAGATTTTTTAAAAGAAATAATACAATATTATATCTGAATTAAATTTTTATTCTACAACAAAAAAGATATTTTAATGTTTAAAAATACATGTTAGGCTGATAAATAATAGGCCGACAAATAATAGATTAAATACCTAAATACTAATTTTAAATGACAAAAGTACAGTAGAGGAAGTTAAAAATATTAAAATTTCCAGGATACTTTATAATTAAATTGATGGTTGCATATTTGTTTTATTTTAAACAATTTACTTTCTTCTTGTATAATTTCTAAAAGCTACAAATTTTTAGTGAACGGGTCGTCCTTATTGATTCTGCAGTGAATTGTATTAAAAACTTAAAATAAATTTTGTCCAATCTCTATATGGCAGATAACCACAATGAAGAACGATCTGCTTGTTTTGGAACCCTAAAATAATATAGACACTTCTTTCATATCCTTTATTTTTGCTAAATTTTATTACTTACTTGTGGAATGTAACATTTGAATCTATTGGCAACAGTCTTCTTATGTTCTTGCAAGATCTTACAAGACAAGACATCTTGAATAAAGCCCAGTATAGAGAACTTATACTGGGACTAAAGTCTATTCACAAATGTTAAAATAAATAAAACGTTTATACACTTAAGAAAATAATATCCACAATCAAAATATTCTAAAATAACACAAAAAAATTTAACCAAATTCACAAACATATTAAAATTTGACACTTTTGACAAATAAAGATAAATTGGTTGCATAAGTTTCAGTTTGTTTATATAAAAATGGCGGTCATTTCTATCTTCTTTTATTAAACACTCAGTAAAGATGCGCAGAGGGTTTTACGCCGTATACCTATTTAAGTATGTGGTGGATTCTCAAACGCGGCAATTGTACTTGATATTTGACGCCATTCTCATAGCTAGGAATCTGGTCGTAGATTTCAGAAGAATGTTTCTGTGTCTGTGGTTTCTACATGCAGGTAACTTACATCATGGTTTATAATATCGTTGATCACCGATTTACGAAAACGGATCTAGGCCTATTCATTACCGTAATCTATGGGCCTATTCTTTATAATCATGGGCGCCGTTTTAATTTTTTACAGAGAGAGAGACCAAGTCTTATACATAGTGCCAAAACGCCCGTAGCATCAGGCTATAGTCGAAAGTCATAACAAAAAAATCCAGGGAGCAGGGAGCAGACGCCCGCCTTGTCCTTGTGTGGCTGCGCCTGTATGTTCATAATGTATAATGTATAATCAACAAACATGTTTTAAATAATTTTTACCTACTGTATTATCCTGTAACCTGTAAATGTACTTAGGGGTGAGATTACAGAACGTCTGCAACTTTGCAGATCTGCAAATATGGCGACAACTTTGCAGATCTGCAAATATGACTTACATATGCATATATTCGTTTTCGTTTGCCAAAAAAGATTTGCAAATTCGCAATATTAATTGTGGTTTATTACCCCCAACAACACTAAACCCAAATCAATTACTGTTTAAAAACTCGATAATCTGACACCATGAACTGTATTCAATCAAAAAGAAACAGAAGACTTCATGGTTGTAGGATGTTCTAACCTTCTTAAGGGTGGATTTGGATTTAGTGATGTTAGGGGTAATAAATATTGCGAATTTGCAGATATTTTTTGGATACTTGCATCTGTAAGTCCGCCATATTTACAGACCTGCAAAGTTGCCGCCATATTTGCAGATCTGCAAAGTTGCAGACGTTCTGTAATCTCACCCTTAATAAATACACACTTTTCACATTATGTGTATAGTAATCAGGGCCGACGATAGGTGGGGGTACCTAGCTGGGACAAATTCTCGGGGCCTGGCAGCACGACGTCTTTTATTTTTTTTTAGAAGTTCGCCACAGGAGAGAAAATCTTTTAGAGATTTCACTAAAGAAGAGAAGTTTTTGCTTGAAGACTTTTTTATAAATGTGATTTATTATAAAATGGCTTAATTTTTTTAACAAATTATCGTGGGGCCCGACCTGGAAAATTGTCCCGGGGCCCGACCTGGCTCTCGGCGACCCTGATAGTAATCATCAATAATATTGTCTATAGTACCATTGTATAAATATATCTATACATCATAGATATAGAAACCAGCTATACAACGATAGTACTCACATGAAGTAGGTAGGTATATACAAAACTCGCATGTGGCTCGCTTCGTATCTTACTTCCCAAACAACACACCAAATCCCAGAGATATCCATAGAATATCTTTTGTGGATATCCAATATATCCACAGGATATCAGAAATATTCCGTGGATCTAATATGGATATCCAAATGTCCGTCTATATCCAGAATATAGAAGATATCCTAATGGATATCCAGCAAAATATCTAATGGGTATCTTCCAGAAAATACAAGAAATCCCAGAGATATCCACAGAATATATTTTGTGGATATTCAATATATCCAATATGGATATCCAATATAGAAGATATTCGGATATTCAGCAAAATATTTAATCTTTAGTAGAGGTTCATAAGTAACCAATGATTATTATTGAATAACGTCGAAAGAAAATACCAGAGATAAAAAATATTTTCAACACTCAAAATATTTTCAACACTCTGCCTTTGATTTTGCCCACTAAGGAGAAAGTCATCCTTATTAGGACTCTTCAGCAATAAATGGAAATTCTCGATTCCAGTCTCTAATGGAGTCTGATTAGGACACACATTTCGATCGAACTCAATTACGGCGGGTCGAGCATGAGTAGATGCGAAAGTGGTATCGCCATCTACTTAGTAAGCAAAATCAAATAACATCTAGTGGATATCCACGATGGTTTGCGTTTGCGCCTAGGCTTTGATATATTTAGTGGATGTCCATGGGATATTGAATACACCTTAAAAAAATTAATTTTAAATGCTGCCCTACTAAGCTGAAACGTCTTATCTAACAAAATTTCAGTTTTTGAGTTAAAAGCATATTTTTGTGATGCAGACATGCATCTAGAACTGTTTTCCTATGCAAAAACGCCCTAACTACAACATAAAGCACTTGTTTTTTATATTCAGTTGAAACGTTCTATCTGACAAAATTTCAGTTTTTGAGATAAAGGCATTTTGTGACGCAGATATGCATCTACAAACTGTTTTCCTACCCAAAAACGTCTTAACTACAGCATAAAGCACTTGTTTCTTACATTCAGTTTCGTCCTAATATTTTCATAGTGGACAATATGAAAACAGAAAATCGTTAATATCTCAAAACTTTCCTCATGCCAGATAGGACGTTTGAGCTTAGCAGGGCAGAATATCTGAACGGTACTATTAGCCACAATGGCGAGCACAATGGCGTAATTTTTTAATGATTTGCTATATAATTACTATTATTTATGGAAATTTGCATGTCTATAAATTACATTTCATGGATATAAAATAGATATCCACCATGGACTGGACATTCAGTGGATATTGGGATGTTCAGTAGATATCCAAAGGATTTGGTGTGCTGTCTGGGTCATATTCCTGTATTATTTACTGATTTTGAGTTCATGTCATTTAATGTTTTTTAAAAAGCACTGATATTAGTAATCTATGGCACTGATCTATAAATACAGAAAACGGTAAATATTCATGTAAACTCCATGTAAATAAAGAAGTAAACTAGGCAACATACACTACATCTACTAATAAACCGTCTAAAATTCAAATGGTTTTTTCCCCAAGTAGGTATTTTTATCACATAAGTACGATAACAAAAGAATGTTAGTAAGTTTGCCGTAAATGTTGATCGTATTATTATGTCGGGGATAATATTAATATTGGCTTTACTATTTATAAAAACGATTAACTGTAAAAGTCCTAACATACTGTTTATTATTGTGGATGATTTGAGGCCCAGTTTGAAGTGTTATGGGGATCAGGAAGCTTACACACCTAATATTGATAAACTTTCTTCTACAAGTTTTTTATTTAAAAATGCATATGCTCAGGTAAGCTTATAAGCTTTATACATACATATTAGAATTAAAATTAGGTATTATGTCGAAGTTTAATTTTTATAAAATGTGCTATTTATTTATTTATTTATTTAAAACTAGGTTAAATTCTTATTTAATTACCCTTATATTTTAAAAGCAAGTATCTATTATTATCCGAGACTAGGCTGTCTCTGTTATTTTGTTGTATATAAAGATACACCATGGATAAACCATACACATATTTACATATGCTGCGTTTGAGAATCCACATCGGATGCATTTTTTACATCTCGAGCGTTTTTTTATCCACATCGGACACATCTGTCCCATTACATTTACGTATACTGAATCACGTGATCAAAGATTTTTTACATCTCAGATGCATCCAATGTGGATTCTCAAACGCGGCAATAAAATCAATATTTCCTCAGATAATATGCCATAGGCGGGTGTTTATTTTTTTCTTAGGGCCAGAGTTCTGCTTATTTATATCTTACATGCCTCGAGTGTTTTTCTAGCAAGCATTATGTGGTCCCAGTAGAAGCTCTTTTTTAACAAGTAGAAGACCAGATACTTTAAATGTCTACGTTAATGAATACAGTTATTGGAGGTCAACAGTGGGAAACTTTACAACCTTACCACAACACTTCAAACAAAATGGCTACCACACCTACTCCATTGGAAAAGTTTTTCATCCAGGAAAAATGTCTAATTTCACAGACGATTACCCATACAGTTGGAGTACAGAAGCTTTTCATCCAAAGACAGATGCTTATACAAACGCTAAAGTTTGTATAGGAAAAGATGGAAAGCTTGCCAAAAATTTAATTTGTCCCGTCATTCCTGAATATCAACCTGATGGCACCTTGCCAGACTTAGAATCACTAAATGAAGCTGTACGATTTTTGAAGTATAAGAATGAGATTGCAGATAAACCGTATTTTTTGGCAGTTGGGTTTCACAAGCCTCATATACCTTTAAAATTTCCCATTCAATACATTGGTAAGCACAATTCAATTACAAAAATAGATTTATTCTGTCATAATATACTCTTATTCTAAATTTGATAAAAATTTGCATGCTTTTAGTAAAAATTAACTATTGAGTAGATATAGTTCCTGTTTTTTTTTATATATAAACACAGTTTATTTTATTATAATTGAATTTCTGAAATATATATTTTTTCATTAAAAACGGCCAAATATTTATATATTTTTAAGTTAAGAATGTCCAATGTCGGATATTAGGATCCCATCACGCTCAGAAGCAAGAGAACAATTTTATTGAGCGACAGTATATAAACATATACAGGTACATTTTTTGGATTTCCAATGTCATTGTTTTGGTTTTTTCCATGCGAAACTATAAGCAAATATATAAAATCAATTGAACACCTCTCTGGATCATTCTCTGTAGGGGTCCGATTACAGCAATAGCTACTTCATCAATTTTAAAGTAATTCGTTGGTTACCGCCGCCTTCTGGGGATTTATAGGAATGTAGGAATATTTTTAAACCGAACAATTCGCATATTCTTTATTTATATTGATAGTGTGAACGCCCTGTATAATAGCTAACCGAATAAAAACTAAAATACCGACTATTGTTTTTGGATGTGTCGACAACGCTGTTTTTATCGCTGCAGCCGTTCAAGTGAATAAAAATACCTATATCCATGAATCAGTTAACCGAGGTTGTTGTTTGATTAAGACTATTGTTGGGTTAATTTTTGGATTAAATATATTTGGCGAGAGTAGCGTTTGCACTTATTTAGTAATTGTATTTGCGTTGTTTGGACAATATAATTGTAGTTTTTGTATTTATGTGTTTTCTTTTGACTAAGGTTTATCCGAGTTCTCATCAGTCGTGGGATTAAAATAGTGGAAGTTCGTTATTTTAGTGAAAAGTTCAGTGTTTTTGTGATTGAAAATGGGAAAGCCAAAGCATCACCGACGTCGACAGCGAAGTCGTAGCTCTTCTATCACTTCTAGCAGCTCTTCTAGCAACCAGAAACGTGCAAAAAAGATGAAGAAACATGGTGAACATCATGGTAAACGTTCTTATACACCGCCTCCTAGGGACAAGAACTTCTTAAAATCAGGTTTGCTAGATAATATAATTGAGTTCAATCCCTTACATAACGACATAAACCGGTGGATTTCTAAGATTGACGAGCATGCAGCTATTTACAGATGGGACGATGTAAACATTTGTCATTTAGCAATAAATAAATTAAGGGGGTCGGCAGAAACGTGGTGTAAGTCATTGCCTTTCGTACCAAAAACGTGGACCGAGTGGAAACCCCTTCTTTCAGTCACTTTTCCTTCCACGCGAGATTTGCATAGTTTAATGACCGAAATGCTCGCCTGTAAACCAAAAACGGGCCAAAATTTGTATGAATATTGTTTCGAAAAACTGTCGTTAATTCGAAAAATGGACTTACAGTTAAGCGGCCTTGACGAGGTTAGTTTAATAGTGGGTGGACTAGAAAATCAGAACATTAAGTTTTCGGTTTAAGCCGCTAATATTACGGATCCTGCTAAATTAGCGGTGTACCTAAAATCGTTTGATTTGCCCTCTATGTCGGATCAATCTCGTCCGTCGAGTAGTAAAATAAATTTTCAGGTAAAATCTGTCAAGCCGGTTAGAGACGCGCTTAAAACGGTAGTGTGTTTTCGGTGTAGACAATCTGGACATAAACAAAACGGGTGTCCGTTAAATACTGTACAAAACACGGTCCAGGGCCAAAGTAGTGTTCAGAGTAACGTTCAAAATAAAAGTAGGTTTCACTGCAATTATTGTCGCCAAAGGGGGCATACTATAGAAGACTGTTTTAAGCGTAAAAGAAAAATGCAAGTACAGTTGTCATCAAGTGGTAATCAAGCGGAAAGTATTGAAAAACGAGTTCTGTTTGTATCTCGAGAAGGTGATAAAAATAAATTTTATAAGACTGTAGAAATAAACGAACTCTTTACAGCTACGTGTTTTGTTGATTTCGGAAGCGAGTACTCGATGATTACGAAATCAATCTTTTGCGCGTCAAAATAAATTAAAAATTACTGAACTTTCAAAGCCAGTAGTGCTTACGGTTTTTGGTGGATCAGAGGTTGACGTTCACGGTAAAATATCGTGCAAAGTACTGATCGATGGTGTTTCTTTGTGTATTGACCTTCTTGTTGTCGCTGAATGTATTCCTGGTGTAGACATTGTAATAGGCCAAAATTTTACTGAAAATCACTCAATACGGTACTCGCGCACCGGTGACAAGTTGTTGTTTAGTCCGTTAGCAGTAAATTCTGTAAACTCTGAGAAACTTAGTTCGAATCAGTGTAGTGTAAAAATTGGTGTAGCAAATCAGGAAGTCCAGAAGAAGGTTTTAGAGATAATTGAGAATTATTCCGACTGTTTCCCTGATGAAGATACTAAATTGCCCAGCATAAAAGGATTTGAAATGATTATACAGCTGAAATCTGATAAACCGGTCGTACAGAGACCCTACAGGCTTGCTGAAGCTGAGAAATCTGAGCTGCGCAAAATAATCGACGAACTTCTACGAAATGAAACCATACGCCCTTCACAGTCGCCATTCGCGAGTCCTCTGTCATAATGGTAATGGTCAGAAACGTTTGGTGGTAGATTACAGGCTTGTTAACAAACAGACGGTTAAACAAAGCTATCCCTTACCTATCATTGAAGATCTAATCGATAGACTAGCCGATAAGACATATTTTACAACCCTAGACTGCATAGATCGGGGTACCATCAGATAAGCCTTTCTGAAGAGTCTATTCCCGTGACTGCATTCGTTACTCCTAAAGGCAAATTTGAATATTTCAAAGTTCCATTTGGATTGACCAATGCACCGTATGTATTTCAACGGGCGATAGACACGATCTTAGGTGATTTAAGATTCACTAAGGTGGTTGTGTATTTAGACGACATATTGATTCCTACGACGACTATTAAAGAAAATTTTGAAACTCTGGAAACAGTTTTAAGCAAGTTTCAGGAAAATGGTTGACACTCTGAGGAGTCGTCCTTAAACGAAAACCGAAGTTCGGTTATATCGCGTGAATTTAGAAATGGGTAGTAACAAATCCGTAAATATACATACCATTTATAGTCCATTGCAAGATAATCTAGAAAGCGCAATGGTCTGGAAACCTCTTGAAACGTTCGCCAACATGCTGATCAGAGCCGGCTCAGGTTGATTGTTATTTGTTCAAATGTTAAAGATAATTTTTAAAATTTGATTTCTACAAAGATCCTTTTGCGGTTTAAATTGAATTGAAAAAAATATAACAACAAAAATATCCTTCCTTTAGTTGGTTATATCGTAAATACTACCTGTTTCCTTAATACGATAGTTAAAATGCACACCCTGAAATTGAATGTTTTAATCCTACAGGTACTTTACACTTTTATTAGGTATTTTCACTTTTTTTATAATATTATTGAGACAATTGTTTTTCCGGATCCGAAAATAGAAATCAACTTGTCTCAGCGTTTTTTGAAAAATTATTAATACAATTGTTTATCAAACCTTTAGTATTATTGAGAGATTTCAAATACTAAATTTCAATTCATCAATTATTTTTTTCCGATACCTCACAGTCATTAACCTTTTTCATTGCACAATATAATCTGACATACATTCTTACGAAATTGTAATATTATCATGTTTGTTTCCCAAACAGAAAACATAAATTTTTAAAGTCCCTTTGGGAGTACCGTCCCTGTTCCGGCTAATACACAACCTTCCTTCGTGCAACAGACAATACAGATTTGCTACTGAATACTGCCCATCTCTAAATTCCAGTGTAACACCGGAACCACCTGGAACTTTAAAGAAGTTGTAACCGAACTTCTATTTTCGTCCAAGAACCTACTCAGCCAAGTCCGACTCAGCACTCAGCTGAGATCTGTTTATAAATACGGGCCTAAGTGGAGACGACCAAGCTGACAATTTTTTAGTAATTTACATCTGAATCCCTGGTTTTTTTATGAAAACGAAATTTCTGATTTGTGATAATAGTTAATTGTGTTTTGATGAGTCCCGGTATCTAATACAATTTTGTTACTTTCATTAGGCGACTTCTACACGTTCTATTCACTTCTGACCCTTTATTATAAATGCTCTATAAGTAGTACTTGCTCCTTAATTCTTAACCCTTTAATCTCAAAGGTAATCTTGGGATTGAGGGTTCATACACAAAAGATTCTATAGTCAACTAGCAGTATCACTTTATTATTTTTTTATCACGAAAATGACGTTTTAATTTATTCCTTCTGTAAAACCCTAGATCTACGTCAATGGTTAACAAACAAATTAACTGCTCGCTTAGTGCTTACGAAGTAAAAGGTACGTGTCATGACATGACTGTCATGTGTTTGTGTCAGTCAGTAAAGTAAAGTCATGTCATTTTCAGTTGTGTTTTTAATCTAAGTAATAAAAGGTTATGTTTTGTTTTGAAACAAATCAAAATTATGGGAAGTATTAAAAATATAGCTTCAATTAGGGAAAAACTCTTATCTAATCCAGTCGAAAATGTAGTAGCTAGAAAGATTTTGCAAGTTGCTTTAAATGGCAGACCTGCAACCCTGAATTATGAAACGGTTAATCCCAACACTTATGATTTAGTACACACTCTTATTCCTTCAAAATACAAAGGTCAGGGATTGGGAACTATATTTGCTTATGTATGTATAAACTGATTAGTAATTAGGTAGTATTCTACTTATTTTATTTTTTTCAGAAAGTATTTGACTATTTAATAGAGAACAAAATCAAATATAAGCTGACTTGTGAATTTCTAATAAAAATTTGTGATAGGTCTGATGAAAAGTATAAAAATAATCGTGTAGCAGATTTAACTGGCACTGAAATTAGCAAATAAAATCAATTTTAATTATCTAATAGTGTAATGTTTTATAAATACTCAAATATCTGTAAATATTAATAAATACATTATATTTCTTTATATTGTATTACAATAATTACTT